AGCCACATTATCAAAACAGTAACATCCTTATCCTGATAAACATGTAAGGGCATGTAAGGATAGATGGCCGCAGTTTGCTTCATATTATGCTAAATTTATCATATTGTGATAATTACATGTAAATAATAAATCCCACAGCGATCAGGGGAAACCCTTGGCTTTTCATGTTATGAAGTAACCCATTTATATGAGCCTTGGGGCCTCGAGCATCACTGGAGATTTTTTTCATCCTCTCTGATCCTCAGTCAAACCAGGAATGGGGACAGGGAAGTATGTGTGAACTGGGTCATTGGCTGCCATGTAGGATTGTTGTCCTAAGGGAGCGTAGTATGTAGAGCAAAGATTGAGGTCACAGTGTGCTTGTCCAGTCCCAGGTAGAGGGCACCCTGCACAAAGGAAGGTGTGTACTTGAGAAACATAATGTCGGTGTGTCATTTCCTCCTCGATTGTCAATTTTGTTCAAGTCCTTAACAAATTCTATGTTTAAATTCTTGTCTAGATTGTTCTAGGAAAGATTCTGAGTAGATTGTATTTTCTTGCCTGGTAAGTGTCGAGTAAGGACTTAAGGGCTCAAAATTTATCTTCACCATTTTTGAAAATAATTTTCTTTATTAATTTTGTTAAAATTTGTGTAGATAAGAGTTACCTTGTTACTTTAAAGTATAAAAATGGGGCCTCGGGAGATGGTGCTATGGGTAAGAGTATTCCTGTGTAACTATGAGGACGGCATTTTGAACTCTGAGCACTCAGACAAGAGTGGCATTATCTGTCATGCCTGTGTGTGCCTGTAACTCCAGCATGGCGGGGCAGTGGGGGAAAGGCAAGTCCTAAGAGCTCAAAGGCTAGCCAGCCCAGCTGAGTCAACAAGCATCAGGTTGAGTGAGAGAGATTGGCTCAAGGAAATAGAGAGTGATAGAGAGAGACACCTGATGTCCTGCTCTGGCCTCCATAAGCATATGCATGGGTCCACAGATCTGTAAGCACATGTATATACATGCCCATACAGCACATACACAAAGTACATTTTTTTTTAAAAGCCAAAAGTATGAAAATGCTTTAAAATGTCTTACTGTCTGGCTTCGAGTCCCTAGCCCAAGAAGGTACACATTGTTAGATTTACACGCACTCGGTTTCACCAGGTAGTTTATAAGTCTCCAAGAATCTTAAAGAATATGTTCTCTAAAGGGTTATGGTGGAAGATGAGCCTCTGGCTAGGATGTAGCTTAGTGTTAGAGTGCTGGGTATCCATAAAGCCCCAGTCTGGTCCCTGCCACTGTGGGAGAAACTGGGAGCGGGTGAGAGTCATCCCTCAAACTTTGTAATTATAATCTGGTAGTTTGAATAGTCTGGTATGTTTATTGCATGTGTTTTGTTCCTGTGTATTGAATAAATTACATTACTATCCAGTCTGATTTCCAGAGTGTGGGGTGATTGATAACACAATGTGTCGGTGGCCCGGATTCTAAATGAACCTATCCCAGAGAGGCTGTTTACACCTGTGAGGCCCTCTCATCTGCTTTAGCCTTACCTTCCCTATGTAGGTACCAGAAGGATAAAAAAAAAGGGGGGGGGGGAGTAGCCTAGGTGGCACTTGCCCATAGTCTCAGCTTCTCTGGAGGCTATGGCAGAGGACCACTTGCGCCCAGGAATTTGAAGCTAGCCTGGGCTACAGAGAGATTGAGCTCAAAGAAAAGAGGAGAATAGAGAATACTCTGAACAGTAAAACCTACCATTGTTCTTAGCTGATATGTGGCCAACATAATTTCTTAGAACATTGGACTGGCTAATTCTATGTCAACTTGATTGACATAGGCTAGAGTCATCTGAGAGAAGGGAGCCTCTATTGAGAAAATGCTTCCATAAGGTCTAGCTGTAGGGCATTTTCTTCATTAGGGATCAATGAGATGGGCCCAGCCAATTGTGGGTGATGTCATCCCTGGGCAGGTGGTCCTGGGTGCTATAGGAAAGCAGGCTGAGCCAGCCATGGGGAGGAAGCCTGTAAGAAGCACTCCTCCGTGGCCTCCAGGTTCCTTCCCCGACTTCCCTCAGTGATCGACTGTTACATGGAAGTGTAAACTGAAATAAACCTTTTTCTCTCTTCCCAAAGTTGCTTTGTTCATGGTGTTTCATCACAGCAACAGTAACTCTTAAAGGTAAACATTGAGGAATTGATGCACAGAAAATGTTGTCACACTGTTAAATTTTTAGATTTCTGTCATTAATAAGTGATTCATAATTTATTTTTCTGTACCATTTTATTTTGGCAATATCTAACTGGATATTGTCTGCATTTAGGGAAGTGGCAATTAATGATAAGCAATAAGTGGCAATAAGTGATAACTTGAAAACTAAAGCCACTAAAGAATGCCACATGCTTTTCTCGTCTCCAGGTTAGTGTAAGACACAGTGGGGATTTTAGTCAGTTTAGAACTGTGGATTAGCAAATCTTAGGAATTGTTTTACCATGTAAAGCAGCCACAGGGAATGAGAGCACTTTTATCTGATTGATAAATACTATTTTGAATGTAACTTGATATTTAAATATTATTCTGAGTGTAACCAAGAACCTTTGGCTCTTGGAACACAATCCAGATGTCTCTTCACTTTCCTTCGAGCACTCCTGGGTGATAGTTTGTTTGTGACTCCCGGAACAAGGAGAGGAAATATTTGCTGCTTAAAAAGTTCTGTCAAATTTGTCTGTCACCGCAGAACGGGCCGGCGCCATAGGGCCTGTTTGTCACAATAAGGAGATATTTAGTTTACTCTTTTTAGTTACATGTGCTTTCTTTTTTCATATTTAAATTTGTTTTGATTGTCAGGACTATTTATTTCTGGACACTAAGCATTATTGTTTCCTGTTTTATCCAAAGCAACTTGATGGTTGGAATGCTTCCAAAACTGAAAAAATTTTCGTTTAAAACAAATATTTCCCAGAACACAGCATAGGAAGTGAACATTCTCTTCAAATGGTGTCTTAGATGAATCTGGAATAGTAGCATGTGTGGGAAATAAGTTTTTTTCTTCACTCACTATTACTACTTGGGGAACGTTAAGTTCGCACTTCCTATAAAATGAAGCAATGTATTCAGGCATATAATGCTCTTCATGGTGACCACAGAGCAGCAAAGTGCAAGATCTTCAGTGTGTGTGCTTATTTAAATGCAATGACAGGTGTGCAGTATAGACCTCGGCAGTGACCAGACAGCAAGGAGGCAAGCCCTGAGGCGTCTGTGGGAAGTGCACGGGAGGCCTGTGATAGGAAATGAAGGGGACTTCTGGGGAATGGGAGGATTGTAGGGTTGGGGGAGGAGGATCGACAGGAAACAGACAGAAGAACTTTTAAAAAATTATCTATGAAAATATTAAAATGAAACCTATTACTTTGCATGCTGATTAAAAATAAACTTACTCATTTATTTGGAGACAGTGTCTCTGTGAATCCCCAGTTGGCCTAAGAACATCTGTATAGACCAGGCTGTCTGGAACTCAGAGATCCACCTGCCTCTGCATCCCAAGTGCTGGGATTAAAGGCATGCACCACCATGCTGAGTCTAATAAGTTTTTAAAAAGGAAACAGTAAGAGGAAAGAAAAGCATTTCAAGTTTAATAATTTGAATTTTTCCTTGGTGCTTATCATGTCAGAGATAGTGGTCGCTATCAGATTTCTTTTTAAAAATGTTCTCTATTTATTTATTTATTTAGGTTTTTTTGAGACAGGGTTTCTTTGTGTAGTTTTGGTGCCTGTCCTGGATCTTGCTCAATAGACCAGGTTGGCCTCGAACTCACAAAGATCCGCCTGGCTCTGCCTCCTGAGTGCTAGGATTAAAGGTGTGCACCACTGCTACCTGGCTTCTACTCTTTAATTATACCTTTTCACCTTTCGTTTAAAAACAAAAGTGGTTTTGAAACTACATCCTTGATTTGAAACATACCACTGCCTAATTTCAGTATTTGCTGCTTCTCCAAAATGCAAAAACAATTGAATACTGTGTATTGGCTATGATTGTCTTGTACTTTGTTCAACCTGTATCATAAATCCTATACCACTTACTTTTTTTTTCAGTTTCCCAGTATCATCTACTGTATTACTCTGATACCAGATTCTCTGTCTCTCTGTCTCTGTCTCTGTCTCTCTGTCTCTGTCTCTGTCTCTCTCTCTCTCTCTCTCTCTCTCTCTCTCTCTCTCTCTCTCGCACACACACACACACACACACACACCCCAATCAATCTCTCCGATGAACATAAGTACAGAAATTCCCAATAAAATGTTGGCAAACTGAATTCAAGATCACGTTAAAAAGATCATTGACCCCAATCAGGTTGACTTCACTCCAGAGCTTTAGGGATGGCTCAACCTACAGGAATCAATAAATGTAGTTTGTCACATAGCTAAACTCCAAGATAGAAATCCCAAGATCACCCCAATAGACACAGGAAAGGCCCTTGACTATCACATTTCTTTGTCAATTTCCCTGGAAAATTAAAAACGATGACGTTGCATTGGAGAGGTGACTCAGCAGGTACAAGTGTTCGCCATGGCAGTCCGGTGATCCTGGGACCCACAGTAAAAGAGAAGCACCTCTGGGAGGTTGTCCTCTGACTGCCACAGGAGCACAGTGCTGTTCAGGTGCTTGCACTCACAGGCACATGCCTCACAAACACACATACACACAGAACATTAAATTAAAAATCAAAACAAGAAATCATTATTTTGCCCCCAATTTTTTATGTCTCTGAGTTGCTACATCTCTTTGGTTCATATGCATAATTCTCAGCTCCACATGAATCTTCACAGTCAGAATTAAAACCATTGACTATGTTTATGAATTCCAACCACGCTGATCCCTGATCAATTCCAGTCTGCCTCCCTGTGTATTTCCCACTGTCAGCATGGTTCAAACACTTTCATGTGGCATAGTTAGCTGTTTACGAACCTATAGGGCGGTGATTATAAAATTTAACCTTGCACATCTTTATGCTTTCATTTCTTCCTCTTGCAGTTGAGAAAGGCCGGCAGAAGAATCCCAGAAGTCTGTGCATCCAGACCCAGACAGTTCCAGATGTGCTGTCCTCCGAAAGAGCACTTGAGTTGGCTGAATACAAAACAAAATGTGAAAACCAAAGTGGATTCATCCTGCACCTCAAGCAGCTTCTTTCCTGCGGCAATACCAAGTTTGAAGCGTTAACAGTTGTGATCCAACACCTCCTGTCCGAGGTAAAGAAGTAAACCCTCTGGCATGGGCAAGGATGATGTTCAGCTCACACTTGTCCTATAAATAGGTTTAATGGTTGGAAGACCGGGCAGCAGCCATCTAGCACTCTGTCTCTCTGTCTCTCTCTCTCCCTCTGTGTGTGTGTGTGTGTGTGTGTGTGTGTGTGTGTGTGTGTGTATGTGCCTGGATTTTTGTTGTTTTGTTTTTCGATAAAGGGTTCCTCTTTGTAGCCCTGGCTGTCCTGGAACTCACTTTGTAGACCGGGCTGGCCTTGAACTCACAGAGATCCGCCTGCCTCTGCCCTGAGTGCTGGGATTAAAGGTGGGTGCCACCACCACCCACTATGCCCATCTTTTTAAAATGAGAGTCCTAGAGATTAAACTCAGGACTTTGTGCTTATAAGGCTAGTGTTGTACTGAGTGAGTTATCTCCAGAACTATTCTTTTATCACTCATTTCGTACTTGTATCAGTCTCTGGAATTTGGGATTACAATGATGTTCTATTATCTTCTCTCTTTCCCTCCGTCCTTTTTGGTCTTTGTGTGTGTGTGTGTGTGGGGGGGTACCAACAAGTGTTCATATGGGTGCAGGTACCCATGCATGCAGAAGCTAGAGAGGTCCTCTGTTTCTCTCCACCTTACCTTTTGAGGCAGCGTCTCTCTTTGAACCTGAAACTGGAAGTTTCAGCAAGGCTGGAGGCTAGTGACCTCCCAGGATCCACCTGTGTCCATCTCCCAAGGCTGAAGTTATAGGCACACACTATCATGCCTGGCTTTTTACATGGGTATTGAGGATTTGAACTTGGGTCCTCTTGTTTTTACAGCAATCACTCCTAACCACTGAGCCTTCTCCCAAGCCTGCAAGTATTTTTTTAGTAACCCCTTTTCCCTTCCAGAGTCTCTTCATTGGAAAGATAGTAGTGAAAAGATAATTGCCTGGAGTACTCTAGACTTGAATAGCATTAAACTCTAGACTTCAATAGTGTTAAAGTTTAATTCCACTTAATTTTTTTTGTCTAATTATATACAGCTTTCCCATTTAGTGAATACTCTGGAAAATGAGGTTGCTCTTCCTCCCAAGGTCATCCTGTTCAGACCTGGCTCATCACTGGGTTCTGGTACACTTCCAGCCTTCACTCTGTGGTCCATCCCCAGCACTACTAACAGCTGAGGCTCTGCAGAGCACTCCATCCTGCTCACGATCCTCTCATGGCTCTTCACTGTCCACAGATGATCAGATGTGGTAGCCAGGACTCTCAGAAGAGAGTTGAGCAATAGGTGGGAACTACATGTAGTAGTTAGAATGAGAAAGAGCATACAGATATATTATTGATATTTTATATTGATTAGATTGAAACGGGATTGTATATGTTTGAGCTGAGTAAAAAAAAAAAAACACTAAAATTAACTTTTAAAAAATGTGCCTACCAGGAAATTATTAGATTATGTGTAGTTGTTAGGAATGATTCTGATTTATTAACTTGGACTATAGAATTTCCTAATTTGACACTAGTGGCCTTTTGCATGTAACCCTCACTGCCCAACTGCTCAGCTGTGTATTAGGGAGATGAAGGAAAGGCAAGATGGAGTTAATATTTGTTAATAATACCTGGCACTTAGTAAGGACTTGCTTATCTTCTTAAATGCTCACCCAAACAATAACGAATGGGAACGTACAAATAAGAAAATCAAGGCACAGAGTGGGGTGACTCCAGACAGCAAGCAGTGTTGATCCTGCCCAGTCAGACCTTCCTAAGTGAGCACCACTCCATCACGACCTGCACCCCCCCCCCCAGACTGATTCTACAGACAGTGAAAGTCAAATGTCAGTTGAGTAAAGAAGGCAGCCCTGCCTTCACTGCTGCTCTGTGTGCAAAGGTCCAGGAATGTACTTGAAGGAAGTAGGCATCTATCTCTAAGGGCCCCTTCCGACAGGAGCCTCCTAGGGAATATGCAGACGCGATGTCCATAAGAGTCTTCTTGGCCCAGATGAACTTGGCCGCTAAAACACAAGCCATGTCATTTCACGTGCTCGTTGAGGAAAGAATAGATAGGGCTGTGGAATAAAATGGTTCTGGGTTCAGTCTATTGAGTGATGCTTTGTTAGTCCACAGCATGAAAAACTCTTAATGAGTTTCAAGAATTTTTTAAGTTCTCATACATGTCCATGATGACTTGGTACCACTGCTGTCGGATGAGGCAGAAGATCATGGCAGGAGGCAAGTGATGGAGCACATGGCTCACGCCATAGGAGGCAAGAGGAGAGAAAGATACAGGAAGAGACCAGGCACAAAGTATATCCTTTAACACCCCACTTGGAGTCACTTCCTCCAACCAGGTTCCACCTCCCAATAACCCATTCAGCTCTGAGCTTGTTTGTGGAATAGCCCGCTGATGAAGCTAGCATCCTTGTGATCCAGCCACCTCTCAACAGCACCAGCATGGTGGGGTGGTCAAGCCGTAGTAAGTGCTTGAGTGTTTTGCAGACTGGCTGTATAATAGTGCCTCTGCTGAATCAAGCTCAGGGACCCCCTCACCCTGGGTCTTCTAGCTCTACCCTCTACCCACCCTCTTGACTCTTCTTTTATTTTCTATATGGTAGGTCCTCACTCTGTCTCTGCTTTTTGGTGTCTATTTTATTATTTGTGTTTGATACATGTATATCTGTGCATCACTTAGTTGCAGTGCCCACAGAAGCCAGAAGAGGGTGTCAGATTCCCCAGGATCTGGAATTACAGACAGTTGTAGGCTGCCCTGTGGGTGCTAGGTATCGAACCTAGGTCCTCTGGAAGAGCAGCCAGTGCTCTTAACCACCGAGTCATTTCTCCAGCCCCCCGTTTTTGTTTTTTAAAGATAGAAGTTCATTGAGAGCAAGGGTCTGCCTCCAGTTCTTTCTTATAAATCCATCCCAAGAATTGTAGTGGACAGAACATACGTGAGCGGACAAGATGAAGGAAGAAGATGGGACCCCAGATATATTTTACAAGATGCACACAAAATCCTCAAGTAAATGTTATTCACTCCTCCTTTGTTTCATAACCAGTGATGTTCGCTGGTTGCCTACTGTGTACAAGGCACTGTTATGAAACAGCTGAAAGGGAAAGATGGGGAAAGTTAAGCAATTAAAATCCTCTTAACCCTTTCCTCCTTTTGTGCCCATTATTGACACATTTGGACACTGTTAACCAGCATTGGTGTTAGTAATGCCAGAGCCTTCATTAAAGGGTCTGTAGGCAGATAGACTCTAACCTCAATTAGGCCCTTTAAAAAAGAAAAATGGGGGGAAAGGAGGGGATTGGATTTTACATGATGCTAGCAGTCATCTTTATGTCTCAGATTCAAAGAATTAAAAAAAAGGGGTGTCCACAGTGATAAAAGCATTGTGGGGATGATATGGAAGAAATCAGACATAGCCACGTCCGAACTGTCTGATGCAGCTCTTTCCTGTAAATCTTTCTGTGTCGTTGAAGCCACTCAGTAGCCAGCAGGATTCAGGCACACCAGTGGACGACAGCCAGCCACTAAGTGCTTGCATCCCAGTGACCCTAATTAAATTATGGAGAATCCCATCTTTTTTTCCCCCTTAGAGCACTTCATATATTTAATGCACAAGCATGAAAGCATCTTTGTATGGATTCCCACCTTGCTCTCTAGTCTCATTGTTGGGGGAGGGGTCTCCATGTTACAGTACAAAGATAATCAAATAAACTTCTTCTCTGGACTATAAATGGTTTATCATCTAAGACAGAGACACTAACCTAAGCAGCTGAAGAAAACAATCTGTCTCTCACTGGCAGAATGTATTTATCATCTGGGAGTAAATAAGTACACTTAAAGGGCAAGTAGCCCTGACAGTCCTGCAGAAACTATAGTATGAGCTTTATGGTGTGCATTTTGTGTAGAACACATTTAACACCCCAGGTTTCCCATGGTCCTGTGCTGTTTCCCCCCAGAGGATGTCATCTGCTTTGATTGATGTCAAAAGAATTGGTCCCGGACACTTTCCCTGTAAGTTCCAAGCTCCCTGAAGGCAGTAGCTTGCTATGTCTTAATTTTCTTACATATTATTATGGTATAGGATGTGAAATGTACTTAGTTGGTACTGAGTAATAACTCATAATTCAGGAAGATAAATGTCCCTTCTGGGCATTTTGTGGGGGAGGGGATGCTGCCTCTGACATTTAACTTTCCAGGAAGTGTATAAAATGAGTTAGGTTAAGAAAGCCCAGGCATCCAGAGAGGGTAGCATGGACAAGATCTTGGAGGAAGGATAGCCTTGGGTAGATGAGCTTGGGACGGTGGACAGGAGCTGGACAGTTCCAGTCCGTGGCACGGACACACACACACACACACACACACACACACACACACACACACACACACACGTTGTGGTTTCTGGGGGAGAGCTCAGCCTCAGGTACGGGCGGGCACCATCCTTGAGCTCCACCCCTAGTCCCGTGTGGTGTTTGTAATACATACGCTCAAGTGGAGGCTCCATTGAGTAAAGAAGTTTATATGCATAAAGAATATGGAAAATAACCCTCTAGGGGTAAAGCAATCCCTTCTATGGTTCAGTACTGGGTTCTAAAGAACCAGGAGCAGAACAGAGGTGACACTGAGAACGAAATTCAGAGGGTTAGAAGAAACCCATCGTGTAGGAAGAGTGGACTGGCTGTCTCCCTCTACCCCGCTCCCCCCCCGGCCCCCCCCCCACACACACACCACATGCACACAACCACCTCTGGCCATTGAGGCAGAGTGACAAGTGGCCTTGATATTTTCTTGCTGTTTAGAACTGGCAGAGGTCTGAGGATGGTTAAGGGCTGTAGAGTTAGGAGAGCTATCCACACTCATACTGAAATCGATCGACTCCGAAACTCCATTAATAAGGTAACCACCCTCGTGTATTTGTGGAAGTGTGCGTGGCTTTTCCACAGTTCTTCGGAAGATAAGCATCCACAGCATTAGCTTCTGCCATCTTCCTTTGAGTTTTCATGTACTCAGGACAAGAGGTAACATTTTCCTGCCTTCCCCCCCTCTTCCGTTTGCAGCTTGGCTGCAGTGGGGAAGGGGATTGAAGCAAGTTTACAGTTTTCAGATTTACTCTGCATGTCTCAGAGAGCTGTCCTCTGCTTTCCTTTGACGCCGCCACTGACAAAACCTACCATTTATCTGAAGTGTGTGAATCAAAATTAAGGCTTGACTTGAAAGTGCTAGAAAAGTCAGGGTGTGGTGGCACATTCCTATAATCCCGGAACCGACCCAGGGAGGCTAGGGCCGAGGAAAGCAAGGATGAGGCCAATAATACGGGGAGAGGAGAGAAGAACGTTATATCCGTGGGTTATTCTATTGTCCTCAAACTTTAATTTTTGCATTAGAAAAGCAGCTGTTTATTATTTTTGAAGTTTGGAGTTCCTGATTGGTAATTTCAGCACAACTTAAACTGTTAAAAGCTTTTAGGATTCCATCAAGCATCAATGTGTAAATGTTCTGGTGGGAAAATGTACTTTAAAAATTCCTAGTCACTATTACCCATCCATATGTAAAGATACTGAGGGATTAGTACAATAAAAGTGATCGAATATGTGTGATCTCCAACTCCCAGGTCCGCACTTCTGGTCTCTAAGACGTGAATGGACAGTACTCTATTGTAACGTCATCTAAAATCCTAAATCACAACAGGGCCCTCTGATTGCCCTTCACCTAGTTCATCATGCCTTTAGTATATGGGTTTTGAAGAACAAGTTTTCCTTTTCTATTAGTAAGTGTGATCATCTAATGACCTCAATTAGAGAGGGGAGGAAAAAGGCTCACACATCTAAAAATAACTCCATTATCCACGCAGAGAGGGTCCCGTTTCTGTTTCCTCCGCCCTAGCTGATATTAAGTAAGTGGCAATCGATCAGGGTAAATGTCTGGCTCCCATTTCTCATAAATGAAGGGCTGTGGCTTTAAGTAATCGCGGGCTGCCTGTGCCAGAGGCAGGAGCTGCAGTATCAGCTTCTGTGGGGGAGAGAGGAGTCTGAGGCAGTAACCTGCAGGACGCCGGGAGAGGCCACCAGGGCCAATGGCGCTCCTCCCGACTGAGCTTTGAATGTGGGCAGACCCGACCGGTGGGAGGCGGGGCCACCTGTGTGCTTCTCGGACAGTGCAGGGGGTGGGGGAGTTGGAGACCGAAGCTGGAAAATGGGCTGCCCCAGCAGCAAAATGTGCCTCTCTCCTCCATGTGCAGCAACACGGGTAATTAGTATTTGTTTACAGTGCTCTTCTGGAAGGGTGTCAGGAACTAATGCAGACCCTGTCTGGAACCAGGTTGGGAAAGTGCTTTGAATGAGAAGCAACTCTTCCCCTGCAGAGGCCAGACTTAGGATCTCTGCAATACTGTGATCCAGATGCGGGAGCCCCACTTCTGAGGTGATCCCAGGAAGGGCATTTTCAGAGAGCTTGGAAATCCTCTGACTTCTTAGCTCCACGCTGGTGCCAGGAAATGTACGTCTTCAGGAACCGTGTTTAATGATTGTGTTTGTATAAGTGTGTGTGGATGTGTGATTGCTACAGACCTACAGGTAACTAGAAAATTATTCTTTATCGCAAGATTGATATTTGCTTTTTTTTTTTAAACACTGAAACAGCCTCTTGATTGCCTTTACTTCACTTCTGTCAAATCTATTTAGAAATATAGTTGCTCGGTGATGTAGTAATCTTTGGAAACTGGTGTATAGCTGAGTGAAATCAATTTATTTTCATCTTGAAAAGATTAAATTTGGTTTGTCCTAGTTTAGAAACAAACTTTCTTGTTTAGAGTATAGGATTGGCCTTGTAAGAAAACTTTTTCATTTGTGGACGTGGGACAAAGTCCATATAAGTGCCTATGTTTAGAACATTAAATATTTATCTTAAACTGATTAGGCCTTTATTATCCTTGGATTGGGAGAATGCATTACGTCTTAAGTACAGTATACATTAGCTGAAAGGGTCTATGGGTCTGCAGTGAGTACTAGGCACAAAGCAAATATTTGTAAATGAGCCATTCAGTTCTTCAAAGGCAAGTTTCACCAGGACCTGGGGAAATACAGATTTTCGAAACGCAAAATTCCTTCACGTCAAAGGGACATCTGTGTTTTGCTTTGCTTTTAAGGACACAAACTGTTAGCTTAAGTGATTCTTATCTCGGCTTCTCGATTCTGGGTCTCGTTTTCCTAGCAATGACAAATGTGTACCTTACTGAAAAGGGACCCTCTTCAAAACATTAGTAACCTGATGTGTGTTTTCCACAGCGGGAGGAAGCGTTGAAGCAACATAAAACCCTCTCTCAAGAACTTGTCAACCTCCGGGGAGAGCTAGGTAAGAGTCTGTTTTCCTTCCTCGGTAAAGTTTACTGAAATTGACAAACATGCTTTTCCTTGTGCTCTGTAGCTGGAGCTACACGCTGGCGGCTGTTATTATTTCTCCCTCTGTATCTGTGCAAACACTTACTATCCACACTGCTTTTGAATCTTGGCAGTGTGACCTCAAGTTCACAGAATTCCTGGCACTGGTCTCTGAGTAAGCTAACAGAGCTTTCTGATGACCAAAGCATGCTTCATACCGAGGAGACAGGGGCAGAATGATGTGTGTGTGTGTGTGTGTGTGTGTGTGTGTGTGATTGTGTGGATTCCTGTTGAATAATTACGTTGTGCTGATTTATTTTTTTTTGGAACCACTTTTTATAGTAAAGAGTGTTGGAAAAAAGGTCGCTTTCTCTGAGAAGAGTGATTACATTACACATTTCGGGGATGGTGTGTGTATGCTGTGAGTATACAAAGTAAAGGACGTGTAAGGACCTCCCATCAGAACAAGGACATTCTACGCTACTCAAATAGTCAGGATGATCTGGGGAGGAATATCTACCAACTCTGGGAGCAATATAGTGCGCTCCATCCCACACTCACACACACACTCCTGGCCTCTGGGGACCCCTCAGCCTAGGAACTGGCTTGATTTAGCTTCAGTTGGATCTGGAGTTGTTCAGTAAAAGGTCACTTGCCTGGTCCTCTGCTTTGCCTGCTGAGGGGCTGCTCAGAAAGTGCGCACAACCTAAGTTCTTCAAAAGGAACAGCTGGAGATAAAGCAAATTTCGTTCATTTAATTCTCAAAGAATCCTGCTCTTCTCGGAGAACCAGACCCTCGTTTAATCACTGCCAATCTAGCTGCTGAACTGGACTATCCGTCAATAACTACACTGCTCCAGCCAAGGTAAAGGTCAAGGGCCAGTGCATGTGGGGTCAAGACTGTGCCCTTCACTACTCCTTGTACCTCCCAGTGGGAGTTGAGGCCAATTCATAGCTAACCCTTGAGATTCACGACAGCAGGAAAGCCATCCGTGCTGCCATCAGGTTATAGAAAGGAGGGAGCCTTGTGGAAAAGTGCAGACACTCGGTGATGGGTGGACTTTTGCTAACCAGGACAGAAGCCACAGCCTTGGGCCGCCCTGATCCCTGACACTGTGAAGGCCTCCTTCCCGCTGTCCTCTAATTTGATCTGGGTGCCTCCCTTTCAGTTTCTCAAAGACCAGCTCAATTGGTCTGTCTTAAGTGCTGTAATGGATACAGAGTTAGGAGATGAGGAAAGAGCTTTTTGTGAGTTTTCAGTGTTTGTCCAGCGAACGCAGTGGAGGTGCAGATGGGCACATTCAGATTTCTACTCTCGGAGAGAAGTCAGGACGAGACAGACGGGGACACCGAGCTCTCATTGCCTCCGCCTGAATGGTGACCCTCTCTTCACAATTGAGCAGTTTAAATGGGAGCCCCGGTCCACGGCACTTCCAGTTATCACAGGGCCCGTCAGGAAACAGCTATCCTTTGTACTCTCACCTCTCTGTCTGAGATAAGGAGAACGTGGCCTGGTGTGTGTTTCCTGAAGCTGTCAAAGTGTCAGGATGTTGCGGTTGGCCTGTCCACATTGTTTGGTCACCCTAGGCTGGACTTGGGAAATGGTGTCATTTCTGCCAACCACTGAGTCAGACAGGCTTGCTGAAGCAGCGAAGGCATTTGGGAAGAGGTTTGGTTTGGCCAGTGAATAGAAGAGAGTTCTTTAAACAAGTGTAATGGAGCTGGCTAGAAAGAAAGTTGTTGAAGCTTTCCACTGGATTTGTATAGTGGGCCAGAGTGGAAAAAGATAAAGTTTACACGTCAAAGCTCAAACCTCCAATTTGAAGCGATAAAACGTGTAGGACTGTGGTGTCACAGTATCCGGGTTCACGTCCTTGGTTTAGGAGCTGGGTGGCCCAGGGCCTGTCAGGTCCCATCTCTCCTGTTCCTGTCTTATTCTCTCTAAAGTGACAGTGTGCACGTGTGTGCTCCAAGGATGGTCATGAGGCTCACATGAGGCAAAACATTGTAAAGCACCCGTGCCTGGTGTTAACTGCTGTTAATGTTGTGGTGTGTGCCTTAATCCCAGTCCTCAGGAGGCCGAGGCAAGAGGACCACTTCAACTCCTAGGCCAGCGTAGTGAGTGAAATACTATCAGAAATCCCCCAGAACAGCTTCATCACACTCAAATGCACATGAGACCTGACCAGTCAGTTGTTGCTATATTGGCGTTTAATGTGGGGTTAGTGGTGTGGGTTTTTATTCATGCACTCCCAGTTAGGAGTGACCTAACATTTTTGAGTACATAGACTTTGACTCACTAAAGTGAAAACTCTGTGTATGCTGCCGGATTGGTGTGGAGTTTGAAGAGAGTAGTAAAATACATGCAGTGGTGGTCCTAGTACCCGACACGTTGTAGGCTACTTAAGAAAGAGCTGCTGTCTTCCCGCTCCCCACCACTTCCACCATCAGAGTACCCAACGCTTCCCCCAGCATGCATAACCCGGGCTGTCAGTGTCACGGGTCAACTGGGTGATCTTTTCCTTACCTTCTCTCTGAAAATTGGGACAAGATTCTCAAACTACTAAGAATTATGGTGAGTGAAAGCCCATAAACCCTGGAACACTGCAATTCAAATAGCCTGTTCTTTTCCCCTTCGGAGTCTAATGGTTTCCTTCCATTTCCACCATCCACCGACTCTGGATACCTTCTCATTTGGAGCCCTGATAGTCTCTTCCTAAGCTAAGCCTTCTGGTCTGACATGCAACCAGCGTGTTTCTCCTGTCTGACCCACATCCGTTCATGGAAAGCCTGTTGGCTTGGGCAAACTTTTTCAAGAAACCCCTCTGTCACTCAGAACAAAACCACGAGGTTCCTCCTACGCCAGTGACCCTCATACCTTGCACAGATGTAGTTAACGTATCTGTGTTCTTCTGTTATCTTTCAGACTCTGTGGTCCTTAATTGAGACTCTTTCCTGCTTCCTCTTTAAAAAAAAAATCATAATGAACTCTCCATTTGCATAGCTTATTGATGTTTATTGACACCTGGGAGTTTATAATTTAAAGACCACCATTATTTCAGTCAAACATGTTTTATATAGAATGAAGTTCCATTGTTCCATCTCATTTTTGTTGGAGACGGGGCAGCACTATGTAGACAGACTAGGCTGGCTTTGAACTCAGTCTCTGTGTCTCTGTCTGTACTATCAGGTTTTTTTTTTTTTTCCCTTTCTACTACATTTATTTGTGTGTGTATCCACATGTATGTGCCCCAGCACATGTATTGAGGTCAGAGGACAGCTTGCAGGATTGGGTTCTCCCCTCCCACCCTGTGAGTTCCAGTGATGGAACTCTGGTTCTTAGGTTTGGTGGCAAGCCTGATCCCCTGAGCTAGCCAGCCAGTCCATCAGTTTTAACAGACACTCACATAATCTACACTTGCATTGAACATTTCTGTAATTCTAGAAGACTTCCTTAAGCCTCCCCTCCCTTAGAAGCAAATACTGATCTGGTTTTTATGACCAACTATCAGCTTGTCTCTTGTAGAATTTCATGTAAATGAAAGTGTAGTGCACTCATTTGAGTCTGGCTGCTTTGGCAGAGGATCATGCTTCTGAGGTATTTTCATGTGTCTTTGGATTCTTTTGACAAGTCCAGTAATTTTCCAGGTCACACCCAGTAGCCTCCACTAAAGACATTACTAACGATTGTGGGCCGTCTATACCAGTGGCTCTCAGTGGGTCACAACCCCTCTGGGGGTTGAACAACACTTTCATAGGGGTCACATATCAGATATTTACATTACAATTCATAACAGTAGAAAAAAATCACAGTTATGAAGTAACAATGAAAATAATTTTATGGTTGGGGGTCACTACAACATGAGGAACTATAGTAAAGGGTCACAGAATAAGGAAGGTTGAGAACCACTGATCTATAGAGTGGTATGGCACTAAGACCATACGATCATAACTCACTGGTGTATTTTTTTTTAAGCCCATCCTTCCTGGGCTGCAGGTGTGTGCTGAGAGCACCGCCTCTCGGTGAGCCAGCCTAGGGAGATGACACTTTCTCCTGGATGGCCCCTTGTTTCCAGAGTCCTCTGCATATCTTCTTACGCTAACCCATATGCATCCATCCCTCAGTGTCTGGGAGGCATGAGTTGAGTCACTCAGCACACAGGACAGCCACTGACTCATACTTCTTATATTACCACACCCTCTATTATCTACACGCATATCAGTCTGGGTCCCAAGTCTTTCTCAGACCCATCCTTCCTCAGCATTCCTGGAGCCATAATTTCATTCATGGAAGATATTACCACGGCCACCCAACAGGTTGCATATCTTGCCATCAGGCCGCATTTCCCTTTTCATGGGCTACAGAGATTGCTCTGGTTTATCTGACATTGTAGCACCCACTGCCTTTCTTGCTTTGTTTTTGTTTGTTTTCCTTTACAGCCTGACTTTGTGTCTAGGTGCTCTTTCTATTCATGCCTGGTTTCCTGCAGGTCTCGGGTGTGGTTGAATTCACGCGTCTATCTGCCTCTCCTGCATACGTTACCTTTCTTCTGATGTGCTCTCTCCTCTGTGTGCTACTCTTCTATTCTTGCCTCTCAGACTCTTCATTTACTCATTTTTAAGATGAGTCCTGTTTAAAACATCTTGACTTCAGATGTTTTTGAGTTTCACCCAAATCTTTCAAACAAGTTAACTTTACGTTTTCTACCCTTCGGTTACTTGGTGCACACTAAGACTTTGTACTTAGCTATTTGTTTATGTGCCTTTCCCCTCCATCTAGAGCTACAGATAATTCAAAGGCAAAGTCTCTGTCTCCTTCAGGTGTGTAGGCCTGGGGTGCACGGATGCATAGACCACAGTTAAAGAATGGATTTTGCAACTGAAGATGGTGACAGGGAAGGTGGGCATCTCCTTGTAGTGTGCAAATGTTTGGGGGGTTACAAGCACAAACATTTCCTTTCACTGAACTGCTTT